CAACAGAAATGTGAGCAATAATGCATTGCCTACGTTTTCCAAGTAGCCCATCATTACGTCGGCGATGATCGCTTCCATGACTTTGAAAACCGCAGAGATAAGTGTTACCGGACAGTAATTGGTAGGATCAGACGGACTTCTCTGAAAGAATCCGGCAAGTGTCCGGACTAGGTGAATGGCTGCTGCATGCAGTGCTTTAGGGTGAAGGTTATCCAAAGATGGTAGATTTTTTAGAACCACTTTTGCTATGAATTTGATGCTGGATAACACTGATAGTGTTGGGACAGAAGCAAATATAAAGGTTTGACGCTAGTACGCCTTGGAAAGTAGGCCAGTACTGGGCAATGAGGCGTTGTTCGTCTTTTTTGTTGTGAGGGTATACCCACCAATCGTACTTAGTGGTGCGATTCCACGCTGCAACTTTCGAAGTGCATTCACGTATTGGTAAAAAGGCAGTGGTTCGAACGGAATTGATTTGCTACCTCCAGTCGGTGTGCTAATTGTTTTCACCAACCAACTGTACATATTAGTTGCTCAGAGCTATGTACGATGTCTCATTCTCCGGGTCAGGATTGTTTATGTAAAGGCAGCATGTGTTCCCCCAACGCCATGACTCTTCATATTTGGCTTTTCATGAATAATGTTGGTTTCATGTGTTGGTGGAAAATTTGTTCGCCGATGCTTCGGTGACTAGTGGGATGGTTTTTGATCATTTCTTGTAGACTATCACTAGGGTGCACTCTGTCACGTATGTCCAACCCTTATGCTAAAGGCACACAACGAAAGGCTACGGTCACAATTGTGAGGTTTTTTTTCATTCGCTACGATGCATATACCGATGCAGAGCCCGAACAAATGCAATATATTTCTCATTATCTGGTTCTGTCCGCATTCGAAGCAAAAACATTCCACCATCACATGAAACCAACATTATTCATGAGAAGCCAAATATGAAGAGTTATGGCCTTGGAGGAACACATGCCGCATTCACATAAACAATCCTGACGCGGAGAATGAGACAGCGTACGTAGATCTGAGCAACTAATATGTACAGTTGGTTCGTGAAAACAGGTTATCACACCGACTGGAGCTAGCAAAACAATTCCGTTCGAACCACAGCCTTATTTACAGACACGTGAATGCACTTCGAAAGTTGCAGCGTGGAATCGCACCACTAAGTACGATTGGTGGGTATACCCACACAACAAAAAAGGCGGACAACCCTCATTGCCCAGTACTGGCCTACTTTCCAAGGCATACTAGCCTTAAATGTTATACTTGCTTCTATCCCAACATCATCAGTGTTATCCAGCATCAAATTCATAGCAAAAGTGGTTTTGATAAAATCTACTATCTTTGGATAACCTACATCCTAAAGCATTGCAGGCAGCCGCCATTTACCTAGCCCAGCCACTTGCCAGATTCTTTCACAGAAATCCGTCTGATCCTACCAATTACCGTCCGGTAGCACTTCTCTCTGTGCTTTCCAAAGTCATGGAAGCGATCATCGCTGTCGTAATGATGGGCTACTTGGAAAACATAGGCAATGCATTATTAGGATGGGTTGGTAATTTTCTCCGTGAACAGCCGTTCTATGTTAGAGACCGAACATCTCTGCCCGACTCTAATCGATTGGAGTGCGACGATCTTGCGAGAGTCAGCATCTCAAATATTCTACTTTTCCGAATGACGTTAAAAGTAGGCTGGGAATCAAGAGAACAGACGACCACAAGCTCCTCCATGTGCGACCTAGATGGGACCTGGCATTGACCGGTGAGGAATACACTGCCATTAAATGTGGTCAAGTGACACATTATCCACATCCGCCATAGAAACGCCTATCTGTAGAATATTGGGGCATATGACCTGCAGACGAGCCCTCAGGAACTTGATGTCGGTGTGCTGGTGCAGGACGACTTCGGTTATTCCAGAGAGTCGGAATCCAACACGTTGTTAGCTTGCGGATGGCATTCGAAAGTTTGAATTCATTCATCTTCTCTATGATGCTGCATGCCTACGCGCGTTAACACGTCGAATACGTTATCCAGACTTGGCACGCTTGGCTAAACCGGGACCTTGCAGCACTTGAAACTCACCATGGTCGAGCAGCGATTAAATACAGTCGGAGTGTTCAGTAGACACTACAGGTGGCTACGTGGAGACCTCATATTAGTCTACCAGATACGGAACGACCCCACGTACACATGTTGCCATCTACTGCAACTCATCCCGAACACCAACTTTACAAGCAATAGCTTGAAACTGAGTCAACAACACAGTCGGCTTTTCATTAAGGCTGGACGAACCTCAGTTCATAGCGACTTAGTGATTTCGCCATAAGTAGCCATTGAACGTTTCGGTGCTTACACTGTTTATGTGCTCAACGACAGTCTGGACGTTAAGAATTCTATCCGACAGGACGCATCATTAGCACCATTTGCCAGCGGACCAGTTTAGTCGGTAACACATTTGTGAAAGAGGATAAGTAGATTAACAGAAATGTATTGGAACGATCATCTATGCTAGTGATAGATAGCCCCATAGAAAAAGTCCATGAGGTTCAAATTTGGTGAGCGAGCAGGACACTCCGATTCGATGATGGCTAAATTTGTCGGTGAGGTAAGTACGCACCGATTTAGCAGAATGTGCAGGTGCACCATCCTGCTGCCACCACTGCATGTCCCTTCAGCCTCCAACTGGGGAAGCACAAATGTCTGCAGCATTTTCAAATACGACGATGCTAGGAAAAGATAAAGCTTTAGTACTTCAAAACAACAACCTACCGGTCACATTCCCGGAAAAGAAATATGGGCCCAAGACCATCAGTTTCACACAGTGGTTCATACGTGATGCGGTAGCCCAACAGTAATGTTTTATTGTTCCATGCAGATGAAACAATGCCTCATCTGTAAAGATAGCAGAACGAATATCCCCGTGATCCAGAAACCAACGACAAAATTCATGCCGCCTCTCCGAATCGCATGGGTTCAAAACCTGCACTTGAAGTGCACGGAACCTCCGAAATTTTCGTTCCAGTCATATCCGGTGTACCGCATATCGGGTCGTGTCACAGTACGGTGCGATCCAACGAATGCTGAGATCGGGACTTTTTGACACTTCACTGACCACAGCGCAAGCTGAACAGCCGTCCGTGGTGATGCGAGGCGGTCCGGTTCTCTTCATGTCACACACACTCCCAGTTTGCTCGAACTTCTTCACTAGTTTAGGCACGTACCGGGCGGTGATAGGGCGCATTCCTGCGTTCATTGCATTGTATTTGCTTGAAGCTGATGCGGCGTTTAAACCGCATTCACCGTACAGTCGAATAATCGGCGCGCGCTGAGTAACAGGAACGTTACGTGATCCCGACTGCATTGTCTACTCGTGCTCCATTACCTGTGATTCAATAACCTTGACAACAGTTGCAATGTCTAACCTCGTCGTCAGCTGAGCTGCCATCACGTGCGCACATGCACGCTGCAGTTTCGATCGCTTAAGTCGACTTTGCGGCGTAGCCAGCGAGATACACAGAGATAACCATCGATCGCTCCAATGCCTACGTTTGGCCGTGACCTTCACTCACTGCGAAGTTAGCTGACAGCCGGAAACACGTTGTGACTCGCTCGCGGATCGACAGCCTCGTGTCGGTGCGTCTTTAGAGGTTAGGCTTTTCCTCAGCTGAGTCCTGCACTAAATCACTCGTCTGCCGAGAATTCCATACGTCCGCACCACTGAGGTGAGAGAGAAATTCATGTCTATGTATGCGCCGTAGCATGTTGCGAATTTCGTTAAACATTGGATGGCTATTGGATGTTGGGGACAACAACCGTAAATGACCGGCGTTCACCACAAGGGAGCCACGGTTGGTAAATGAACGCTAATCGGCCTTCTTCCATCAGACTAATTGTATAATTTTTCTATTAACTAGCCCCTACGACTAAACGGGGACGGCAATTGGGTGGACGTAGACGAGCGGTTGTTATCTAGGTTGTGGAAAGCTAGCCTATTTTTTACTCTTAATCATGGAAAGATGGCCACTGGTCTTGATTAAAGGAAGCGTAAGTTATGAACAGCTGTTGTGTGTAGCATTTAATAATCATTAGCCTGATCGTTAACGTTTGGTTTTGTCGATTCCTATGGATTCAACCCTGCTTGTTCCGTCGGTTTCCGCTTACGAAATGCAGGTGGAAGAAACTTTCCACTCACGACTTTAAGATCTACGTTACATTGTTGCTCTTTCCATAAACCAAAGATAAATACAAGTCTTTTATACACCAAATTCTTGACGGCTTGATGTAGCAACAAATAGGGATTATGTTGTTGTCTGGATTTCGGCGCACCCGCTTTATCTCTGGCTTAAGGTAAGCAATCGCAAATGAGACAAGCGTTTATGATGAAGTAGACCCCGGTCCTCCCGATCTCTGCATCGCCACCCAAAGTGAAGAGTTTGGGTGTTACTGGCATCCAGCTCTGTATTGCACTACCAGATTTATCGTTGTTTGGCATCTTCAAGCTAAAAGAAGTGGACGTATTGGTTGAAAACTGGTCCTTTTCGTTGCTAAGTGGTTGAGCTTTACGAGAATACTAAGCTTAATTTGGGTGGACCTGCTTACTTGTAGAAGGTCAATAACTTGGTTGAGAAATGCTGGCTTCCGTGATTACTGCTCTGATGGGATTATTTAGTGTACTGAAGAAACGTCTGTTGGCAAACTGCTCCACTCGGTGGAAAACAATAAATCCAATTGCATTCCACCAAACGATGTTAAAAAGAACTGCTAAGACACCTTCAGAGGCATGTGTACCAGTCTAGTAGGATTCAGACGCCAGAAAGGGGGTACCAGTATGAGGTGTATATTGCCCACGATCCTCCTGGTAATAAAATAAAAAGGGATTCCAGCGTAAAAGTAACTTCGCTAGCAACGACCATGTCGCTGCAAATGTGCATATCTGCCAGTATACCACTGACTTACGTGCTCGGACGTCAAATGCACTTGACCCCTTTGCGCTCCTTTTCTATACGGTGAGTAAGAAGAGACATAAGGAAGTGATGGAGGAGAGTTATATAAAAGCTGTGGTTACTATGATTACAGTCTTCTTCTAGTGAATGGCTAGCTTCGCATAGTAAGAGAAAGGAGCGCATATAATAATTCACATGCTTGCAGTTGATTCCGCACATCTTAGAAAGCTGGGTCCCGCCTAAGTCATCGACCACTAAGTTCAAAGAGCTAAGCACGAGGTTTTCCATTGCTCAATCCCTCCGGCCCACCAGTCTAAATTCTTATTCCAGTGTTACTATCGACGAACTGATCACGTAAACAGTAAAGTAGCCTCGGGTAAAGGTGATCGTGGCCATTTCTTGCGACCAGCTAGGGATACAAGAACCACAAAATTTATGCGACACTGCGTGCTGAAATGGACAAAACGTACATAGGGAATAGCAATTTGTTTATCAGCGGTTTTTGGCAGCACGGAAGTGCCTCAAGGTATAAAAGAGTTGTGCTCGGAAATTATTGACCGTTAAGTGATACACCTTGTTATAAAAAAGTGGGTAAATCACATTGGAGACCAGTGAGTGCGGAAGTCACCAGTGGACAATATGATCATTAAAAGGCCACATACTGTTCCACTCTCATTATCGGCTGCTTCTGCTCTTCTCATCCGAAGCATAGCCGTTGGTCACGCTCAAGTAAAATTGATTGATTCCCGTAGGTTCAAGCAAATGGAGTTTAACCGTGTGAAGATATTGTTGTAACTGACACAAGCTAATGAAACTCAAGGTTCACAATGGTCCATAATGTTCACCTAAAGTGCACCGACCAAATTTTTTATTGCAACTCAGTTCACACTACTTGGGCTATCCAGTCATATATGTTGCACGGAAACCAGGCCCCAAATTTTTCAACAGGATTATGTTCAGATTCACTCTGTCCTTAAGTAAACAGTAGTCATAAAAAGTATTAAACTCACTGTGCCATCCAGTTCCGCTGAGCTTTGTGTAGTTCCGGTGCTTCCACAAGCGGAGCCAGACACAGCAAGCTGACCGGTGCCACCCAGAGAGTGCACACTTGGCTGCCCAGCGCTCATTGCTCCAAGGCTTCCACGGTGTGCCAGTTCTTCCTCCGATGTGGTCCGCGGAAGCATGACTTCAGAGCGTCGTGGGCCAGAAGCCAATAGACTACCTCGACCAGCGGAGATCTGGGACGCATTGCTGGCAGATTCCAGCTCAATCCCATTTGGTGATGCGTTCGAGCTTGGTTTCACCTGGCCAGACTCTGCAGGATTCACTAGTTGTGAACAGATGCGCTAAGTGAAAAGACCCCTCACGTGACTGTACATAAACATTTAAGTCAACCGCAAAATTCTCAAGCGGTTGGTGCCAATAAATATAATACTACTGGTGAGTGCTAATTTTGATAATTTTAGCGCTACTTTCATGTTTCATTGCGGGATATCAAACCGGAAGTCGGCTTTAAACCAGACACTGCTAATATTTGCTGATCATACCCAGAAAGATAGCTCAGATGCTTGTCGCATTTCCTCTTTCCACAGGCAGCAACTTAACCACACTTTAACTGCAGCATCGGCTTGCTACCATCCGACAGTGACAAAACGCATAATTTTCAGTTTATCAAAGATCTGTCAGTTGCGACATAGGCGAGTTTGGTGGTGAAAGCGATGTGTTAAGAGTTAAACGATTCAAGCATCAAAAGCTACTTCCATTTATACTGCTTACGACGCTTTCCGAAGTTAGGATTATGTGGCTCAGGAACCAGGCTACACTCACGTGTTGGCGAATGCGACGCACTTTGTCTTCTCTTGGGTGGGCGGGATGGTGCCTTCTTCAGAAGGTCTTCTTCGTCACTGTCCCTTCGTACCTTGATGGGTGAGGTTTTACATCTTCCTTCTCTTCCCCAGGCCAAGATGCCCTTGGTACTGGTTTCAATAGTGTTTACGATTACCTTGAGAGCAGACTGAATGTCATGCGGTCTGGGCCAAACGTCCAAGGAACGCCCAACAACCCGAACATGACATCGGACAAGAGGAAATGGTCTGGCAGTACCTGACGTTCACAAGTGAGGAAAGAAACTGAATAAGCCGATAAATTAACTACCGAGTAAACAAACGCAAACATTTTCTGGAGATTAAAATAAAAAGAGTCTCACTCGCTTTTTCAAAAGATTATTACTGTTCAACTAGATTGTCTCCTTACCGGCTGATACACGCTAATTATGTCGCGAAATCAAAGAGGGAGCTCTGTGTAACACCGAGGAAAGGTATTAGGTTTGGTAATAGCTGTTTCCGATACAGTCTAACGAAGAAAGTTGATGACGTTTGCCACTTCTTTTCCTCTCGGCAGTCAGACGTATTGGGCCTAACTGAAACTTGGTTAAATTTAGAGATAACCGCCCAATAAATCAAAATCAGCGGGTATTCTTGCTTCCCTGTGATAAGCTATCAAATGACCGCGGAGGCGTGTTGCTATACATACGGTCTTCCTTGTGCGGGAGACTCACGAGCACCTACGGAAGCAGTGATGGCATGTGTGAGCAGCTATGGTGTTCGATCCACCTGGGAAGCGGCGAACTCCACGTGGGGGCTGTGTATCGCAGTCCACTGAGCCGCAGATTGGACTGGTTGCCTCATGTGCACAAGCACGTGAATCGTCCGTAATTCGTGCTCATGGGCGATTTCCACCTCCGTCGAACACCTTGGTCCGAGGTCGTCCTTCTCCCCGGCCCCTTTGAAGTCGAGATGAAGTTTGCAGAGGTAATGTTTGAAACTGTGGCCTCACAGTACATCAAGCAACCGACGCGTATTATCACGCGATCGACTCTATCGTACCTGGACCTGTTGCTAACCAGCTGCGATCAATATGTGCGTTATGTTCAAGTCCTAGAGGCCCTGACAGCTAGTGACCACTCGATGGTCGTGACAAGTTTAGAGCTGCCACTATCGTTTACTCTTCTACTCGAGGCAGCCCACAATTACTGGAAGGTGGACTTTGATTGTTGCAAGCCCAATGGACTGGTCCCTACCACAGGATTCATCGGTTGAAGCCGGTTGGTCTATCATAGAAGAGGGAATAAAATCATTGTGTGCCCGATTTGTTCCCCTCAAATATCGGAAAGCTGCATCAGTCAAGTGAGAGTGGTTAGACAAGTAGTATGGCAAACTGGCTCGACGGCGACGCCGGCTATGTATTCGATTCCTGCAATTTGGCTCTGCGGAAGATTATGAGACGTACAAGTGGCAACAAAATGCCTGCAACAGCGCGAAAAAGAGAAAATGCTGGTGCTTCGAAGAGCTTCTTGCATCTGCATTAAAAACAGCTCCCAAGTGGATCTTTGCATACATGAAGCGCCACCTTAAGCCGACAGGTGATACGCCTGTGTTGGCGAGATTGGACCTACAGCCCCTACTTTCCAGCACTGAGCCTGTTTCTGCATTGGCGGCGCACTTCGCTTCTGTTTTTGCAGATAACCAGGCATTGGTACCCAGTTTGAGGCGTATTGTCCTTACCGCGCTGGACAGCCTGGATTTCACCGTTGAGTATGTGCGGAAATCGCGCCCTTGTGACAGTACCAAGCCTGCCGGATCTGATGGGCTCCATCTGCTGATCCTCAAACCCTTAACGGCCATCAGATCGCCTTCAGTGTTTGGGCTGTTCAACAGATCGCTGTCCGCCGGTTCATTGCCAAGCGACTAGAAATGTTCCGTGGTGAGACCGATCCTGAAATTCGGCGATCCGATCAAAGTGGGCATCTACCGGCCGATATGCCTGACTGCTATGGCTAAAGATACTCGAGCGGATCTTTTGCAGCATCTCGAGTCGAAAAACATTTTGACGCTCGCGCAACACGGTTTCATGAAAGGTTGGTCATGCATCACAAACATGCTACTCCAGATGCGCGAATGGTTACAAGCGTTAAACCAAGGGAAGTCAGTTGACGTCATTTACATCGACTTCAGTAAAGCATTTGACAAAGTGAACCGTGAGATTCTCCTCTGGAAGCTGAGGATGTGCGGTGTTGGTGGCTCACTGCTCCATTGGATCAGTGACTTCCTTATTGGTCGGACGTGGAAGGTGTAGGTAGACAACCATGTGACCGAGAGGTATCCCACGACCACTGGTGTCTTGCAGGGCACAGTCCTTGGGCCCATTTTGTTACTGATCCACATCAACGATTTGCCGTGGCTTCTCAGTTCACCTTGCGCGTTGGTTGTAGATGACCTTAAGGTACGGAGTGTAACTGAGGCGCCCGACGACTGCGATTTGCTTCAGTGTGACCCTGACCACCTCCTTAAGTGGTCAGCAAAGTTCAAACTTCCGATCAACCCGGTCAAGTCGATATCGATGAGCCTGGGCAACGGCGGTAATGGCCGAGTCCACAATCTAGCCAGCCAATAGTTACATCCCTCGCCATCCTTGAAATATCCAGGAGTACTTTCACGCTGCGATTTGAAACCCGTTGTAAACACGATTAAACTTTACCAAAATGGACTACACGTGGTCTGGGCGCTCAAACGCAGCTTCTGCAATTGGTCCGATGAGGTTAGCACCCGCCTCTCCTATCATCAGACCAATACTGGAGAACAGCTCACCCGTGTGCTGTCCGCTCACCTGGGGCGAGATGCAAGTGATTGATCGGGTACAGCATGTGGCCACAAGCCTCATTCCCGGTTTACGAGGTGTGCTATCTGTAGACCGGTTCAAGAGACTAGGGCTGTACACTTTGTCATACCGTCGAATGCGGGTTGACCTCATCATGACACACCGGATAGTGGTTGAGGCCGCTGCTTCCTCTGCGCACACCAAGCAGTATACGAGGACACCGGAACAAACTCGTCGTATCGGATTTGAAGCGGGTCGCGCAACAAATCTGCTTCAAACGGATGGTAGTGAATTTAGGAAACAACTTGCCTGCAGATATAGTCGAAGCAAACTCGGTGCCAGAGTTGAAGAAACTCCTGGACTCGCACTCTGCCGACTTGGGATTTCAAAAATAATCAACTATGTACTAGGTAGATTTGCTTAAAAGGTATTATATGTAGCTACACAGGGGCATCACTACTCGCTGCATTTTCTCAGCATTCAGTATGCAGCAACACTAATAATAATAACAGTAATCATAATCATAATCATAAAAAGTAAAAATCCTCATCATCACCATAGTCAGCAGCATAATCGTCGTCATTATCCTCATCAACATCATCCTCATTATTATCCTCATTATCTTCATCATCGTCATCAACTTGTGCGTTATTCGCACTTGAAGGTGCGGAGGGTAATCCTTACACCCAATGATTGTGACCTGCTTCAGCAGGACCTCGACCGCCTCGCAAGTGGTTTGTAGAGGTCAGCCTACCGATCAACCCAGTTAAGTCGCAATTCATGAGGCTGGGTAAATGTGAGCACAGTCGAAAGTACACTGTGGCCGGTCAACCGTTGCATCCCGCGCCTTTCGTGCGAGACCTCGGTGTACTATCCCGTTTCGATCTAAAGTCCCTGGACAACTGTTAAGATTGAGAGAAGCCTAATAAGATGATTGTCACTGGCACGGTTTGAGCACCCCTACGATAACGGCTTGGAACGCTGGCCAATCGAACAGTTTTGCGCTGACGTGATGGCGTTAGCTTAGCACGGGGTACGCGCTGGTGAGACAGAAAATCGAGCGAGGATGAGAACGACCCTAGCCTCACGTATTCGGATGGACGCTGACCCCTCGTAATGAAAGAGGATAACCACACGAGAGGGGGTTACGGTAGACGTGCGCTGGTGGCTTAGACGCGAACGTTTGCTGGCTATTGACGCACGCAAAAGTCACGCGACCGGGCCGACTCCCAACTAACGGCGAAGACGAAGCAAGACAGGTGGTCCTCTGAAGGCTCTTTTGCGACCAACAAAGGGCGAATCACAGTCAATACTATGGGTTATTAAGTTAGGGAAAATGGCTACCGCAACGGGGTGGTAGTTTGTGAAATAACATTACCAACATGTGTACAGTTGTTGGAGTGGCTGAAATCTGCTACGTTGCGGGGAGGAACTGGACTTCGCTTACCACAGCCATTACGCCGAAGGTGGTGGCGCGTTTTTGCGGGAATATTCGACGGGTCCGCAACAACAACACGAAAGGGCTTTACGAAAACAGCCTTCGTATGCTTTGGATGCTCAGGCGCAAGTTCAGCACTTGGTCCGAAGAGATTGCCGCTGGCCTCTTCGTCTCAATAATATGACCAATGATAGAGTATGGCTCTCCCGTGTATTGTCCTATCACGCAGGGGGAGGTAAAAATATTCAGCGAGTGCAGCATGTGGTCACCAGGCTGATTCCCAATTTACAATGCATGCCGAATGTTGAGCGGTGCAAGAAACTAGGGCTTTACATCTTAGCTTTTCGTCGACTGCGGGTTGACATCATCATGACGCACCGGAGAGTACATCTCGGCCGCTGCTTCATCTGCACACTCCAAGCAGCAGACGAGAACACCGGTACAAGCTTGTCATATCGGATTTGAAGCGTGTCGCTTACCAAGTCTGTTTCTAACGGATAGTGGTGAATGTATGGAACAACTTGGTGCAGTAGGTAGTTGAGGCAAAGTAGGTGTCAGAATTTAAGAATTTACTGAACAAACACTTTGCCGATAGGAAATATATCGCGCGCAATCCAACAGATCGGTTCTTTGTAGCTGAGTGACATTAGATGCAGCTGCACAGCGATATTTATTTTGCTGCTTCTAAACAGTAATCAGTGATCATCATCATCGTCATCGTTATCATCATCGTCATCGTCATCATCATCATCATCATCATCATCATCATCATCATCATCATCACCATCAATCCATCAGCCATTTGCACTGATCCTTCGCTCCAAATATCCACGATGACATACAGAACAGGATGATAAATAAAAGGGTGAGAAGGGGCTTATTAAAATTTTTTATGTCCAATGCAAACATTTAGGGTCAGTGCGCCTACACCGTGTCAACAAGGTGCCTTCACAAATAGCTTGATATCGTGCAGATTAAGGCGATATCTGAGACTGCATGTTTGAGATTT